GAGAATAGGAATCTACCAGTGCTAACTGAGTCAAAAGACCAAAAAAAAAACTTTTCCTTTCTTTCTTTCTTCATTTTTTTTTTTTTTTTTTTTTTTGAAATGAAAGAATTAGATAATTTATCGTTCGTTTATCATTCATTAATCCATATGCCAATAAAGATAGAGTATGAAATAATGTTTCTTTTCGATTCTCATTGCCTAGGATAAGAATCTGCTAAGAATAATTGAATATTGAAAAATGCTCCATTTTATATTTCATATAATAGAATAATAAAATATTAAAAGAAATACACCGGATTAAATATAATAGCCCTTCAAGATCAGTGAATGGGGGAAATTCACACTCCCCGACTTTGCTATGCTAAATCATATGTCATCAGGTAATTTCAATCGTAATGAATTATTCCATAGGGTTTGACATATTAATAAGTTGGACGGATCTCTTTGTTAGAGAGGTCCTGGATTTAATGAATTCGCTCGAATATTGGAAGTAACACATCAGTTGTAACTTGACGATGTAATGTTGGTTTCTTGATGTGTTGTACGATAAATGTCTTTGGTGCAAGTTTTTCAGTAATTCTAAATGGTCCTTCATAACGAACATTAAATTTTGAATGCATATGGAGTGTTTTAACGAGAACGAGATCACCGGTATTGTATAATGGATCAGAACGATTTGCATCATAACGTTGTTTGTATCGTTCTTGGTTTTTTATAATATTAATTTTTGCTTGTGCATTTAATGTTGCTAAAAATTCATTAAGCTTTTTCACGTGGTCATTGTCATATTGAATTGTAACATTATCTTCTTGATAATCAAATGGTAATATTGGTGGGCGGCCATACATCATTTCGAATGGAATTTGCTTGGTTGAGGAATGGATCGACGTGTTGTAATTGAACGTGACAAACGGTAATTGATCATCCCAATCTGTTTTTTGTATATTGGATAAAGCTGCAATTTTTGCATCCATTGTTGAATTGTATCTTTCAACTTGACCATTCGATTGAGGATGATATGGTGTTGAATATAAATGCGTTGATCCAATTTGTTTGATTAATTCATTCATAATTGTTGACGTGAAATGAGTTCCGTTGTCGGTTAAGATACATCGAGGTGTACCAAATTTTGAAATAACATCTTCTTTAAGAAATTTAACAGCTGTTTGTGCAGTATTATCACGTACTGCTTTTGTTACTACAAATTTTGATAAAATATCCGTGAGACATATAATATATTTATTACCACGACGAGATGTTGGATTAATAGGACCATGAAAATCCATAGCTACTAGTTGCCATACACCTTCTGGGGGTTTAATTGGTCGTAATTTACCAGGAGTTTTTTGTCGACGAGGATTATGTTGAGCACATAAAATACATGATTTAACATAATTATCAATGTCTTTGTACATTGAAGGCCAAAAATAACGTTGTTTAATTTTATATATCGTTTTATCTCTTCCGAAATGAGCACCATTGGCTGCAGTATCATGGTAAATTTGTAAAATTGTTTTTCGAAAATCACCTTGTGGTACATAAGGAACTGACGGTTTTGATCGACGCATTAAAAGATTATCTTTGATCATATAATTTTTATATTTCTTGATATTGTTCAGAATATTTTTTGCATAATTATCATTTTGTTGAGCTTGAATTAATTCTTCAAAGGAAAATGAAATTATTCGATTCTCTTTCATTGAATTATTCAATGTTTGATTGGCGGATGAAGAAGTTAGAGAATCTTGTGCTGATTTTGTGCCATCGTTCGGATCATTTAAAGTTTGATGTCGTAATTTCATCGCACGAGTTTGAACAGCTGCGACGATAGATGATTGGTTTTTTATATCTGAGAAATCGGTTTGTGTGGATTTCGAAATAAGAAGTGAAACTTCATCAGGATCTTCTTCGGCATCATCGACTGGGGACCTTGATAAATAATCAGGCATCGAGTTAGTTGAACCTGGGATATATTTCACCTTGAAGTCATATTCTAAGATTTTTAATCTCCATCTTTCACATCGTTTATTAAGTTGTGCTTTTTTATTTAGTTGTGTTAATGCCTTATGATCAGTTTCCCAAGTGAATTTAATTCCACTTAAATAATTATGCCATTTGTCTAAAGCACAAATAAAAGCATAACATTCTTGTTCCATAGGAGACCATTTACGTTGTGCTTGAGTAAATTTCTTAGAAAGATAAGCTACAGGTCTATCTCCATCAGGATAAGTTTGTAATAAAACAGCACCGATTCCCTCATCAGAAGCATCTGTTTGAACTTTAAAAGGGAATCTATTATTTGGTAGACGTAAAACTAAATCAGTTGTAAGAAAATGTTTGAGTTGTTCAAATGCTTTAATTTCTTCATCTGTTAATTTAATTAACGTTTTTTGTCCTTTTTTTCTGTTGCGTTCTGGTAGTTGGTACGAATTTCCTAAGTGGTTCGGCAATTTGTGAAAAATTTGGTATGAATTTTCTATAATATTCTGCTGCTTTAACAAATTTACAAGCTTCATCTGCTGTGTGTGGTAAATTTGTATTTAATAAACCTTGTATATTGTGTGGACTTGGACGAATTTCACCATTTTGGATATGATGTCCAAGATATTCTGTTTGCGTACGAGCAATTTCGCATTTATCTCGATTGAGACGAAAACGAGCGTTTTTTAATATTTGACAAATTTCCTTGAGATGAGACAAATGTTCTTCGAATGTCTTGGAGTAAATAATTACATCATCAATATATGCTAATGCATATTTCCATCGTGCAGGACCTAATATGTGATTAATAACACGTTGAAATGTAGCTGGATCATTTGTTATTCCTTGTGGAAGAACTGTAAATTGATAATGATTGTCTCGGGTTGAGAAGGCAGTTTTTGGTCGGTCCTCTTTCGATAGAGGAACCTGGAAATATCCTGATTTAAAATCAAATTTTGTGTAATACGTTGCATCAGATAATTGATCGAATATTTCATCAATTCGTGGAAGTGGAAATGCATCTTTAATCGTGATGGCATTTAATCGACGATAATCAATGCAAAATCGCATGGTTTTGTCTTTCTTCTTGACGAGAACGATAGGTGATGACCATGGAGATGTTGATTCTTCAATTTGACCACGTTCTAATAATATCTGTGTTTCTTGAAATTTAATTTCTTGATCTTTATACGAAGCTGAATATTGTTTCGAATAAATAGGTGGATGATCACCAGTTCTAATTGCCGATTGCGGTGGAATATTAATAATTGATGGTGTCGGATCAAATAATATTTTATTTCGCCATAATATATCTTGAATTGCTTCTCGATGTTTTGGATTTCCTATATGAGCAGTCGATTCGATTATTTGTTTTCGAATCTGATCTGAATAACATTGTGCACGTAAATGTTTTTGTAAGTCATTTCCAGATAGAAAATATTCATTACATTGATGACAACGATTATCTCGGAGAGTTTGATTCGAGTTATCTTTATCATATGAGATAGCTCTTATTTTAGGAATTTTGTGTTTTCGGGATGATTGAAAATTCGACGGTGGTTCCGGTTTTGTCGAGTTTTGTATTGTAGTACATATGGACAATGTTGTGTCATATGATAGAGTTCCGATGCGTGTATTCTTTGGTAATGTTTGTTGACAATTTTGAGCATTTATTAATAAAATTTTTGCTTGATGATTATTAACATTTAATAATGTATGCGGTATAAAAATAAATTTTGAGATATAGCGATCATATGGTTCAAATATTAAATTGTTGGCATTAGTAACTTGAGAAGTAATGTCAACCAGTGTTTGTGAATGTGGAGGAAGGGTAATTTGATTAACTAATAGAGCGGGATAATTGATGGAAGACGGTTCGGTGTATGGAATTCGAGTTAATTGACCATGTTGATCAGGAATTGTTAAGTGTTTCTGGTCGCCAAACAGGTAAACATGATTAAAATTAATCCAGTCATTGCCTAAAAGAATTGGTGTAATTAAATTTGTTGCGACATAAGCAATGATATAAGTTTTAATATATTTAATTTTAATTTCCAATTCAATTTGACCAATAATATCAAGAGGAGT